ACAAAAAATAAAAAAGAAATAGCAAATCTCTCGAAATACTTATACTTTGCAAATAAACTTCGAAAAGAACTTGAATAACTAATTATCAGCTTTCATCTAGTTTTTCTTGAAAAAAAAAAAAAAAAAAAAAAAAATTATTTCATATATTTTATTTTTCCTTTTTTACATTTTGTACTTAATAATTTATTCCAATTCTGACTGAACAAAACAGTTTCTCTCTTAAATTACTGTTCTTGTTTATTTGTGACTTTTCTCTTGTCTTATGGTAGTGTTTATATTTCATGTGTAACTACTACAGATGTTAATATGTAGGCTAGAAGTGATGTTAGATATTGCTTTATGCTGAATAAATGTTGTTGTTGTTGTTGTTGTTGTATAGAAAATAATACGTTTGGTTTCCAATTCCGGAGTCGGAATACGAATTTTCCGTTATAAAAGGTTATAATAACGTTGAAAAAAAATTTGGTTTCCACCAATTCACTGTCGTTATTTGAATTTGTCAGTATAATGGATTCCGATGTATTGCGTCCTGACTGTATTAAGTTCGTACTGAATTTTGTGTCCTTCAAATTTCCATGATAAATCTTTCTCTGATTTTAATTTATCTACTTATGAAGATAAAGATCGTGACTTGCCTTGAACTTCGTCTCTTAACGTTTGAAAATCCTGCCTCTGTGAATGCAGTTCATCCAAAAAAAGCTGTAGTTGATTATGAAAACCATGAGAGCTGCCTTCTGCTTGCAAGTCAAGACCACGTGGTGAATTGTCCACGTTTTCTTCTGACATTCCAAGGACATACAAGTAACACACTACACAGTTAATTTAAACTGATATTGCCTAGTCGATCGCCCAAAGCTGAATGACCAATACTACACATTACTTTAGCACGAAAACTTCGTGCACAAAACTATGCAATAGGATATTTTATTCGACCAATGGAAAATAAGTTTCCTCTAATTCGCTCTCGCTCAACCGTGGAAAATTATATTTCTCTGTTTAAGCATATACAAGAGTATTAAAGCAAGAATCAATACGTTTAGCATTATTTTGCATATTTAAGTATAAAAAAGCAAAATAAACAATTTGTTTTCTCCAATAAAGTTAAGCCTCTTCGTATAAAACACTTTAAATGACACCTTCCGTGCGAAATTTGACTTGAAATACAAAAGTGGAAACAAATATGAGCCAACATTAATATTCTAGAATATTTAGGGTTTTGGCGGCCATCTTTGACGCCATCTTGGATTTTTAAGCTTCGCACCGGACTTGAGCCAAATGAATACCCATACCGGAAACTGCAGACCTAGACAAACAATTTGGTATATAAAACTTGCTGTTGGCTGACATAGACCACTTCGATGTTATTTTACCCTATAGATTTGCAGCACTATAAGTCTTCTTGTCTGAAAATGCCGAGAACTAAGATATATATATGAGGCATGTAGCATTTATATTTCTTAGAAGGCAACTTTGAATACTATAAACTTATGCAGCTCCGGTAAAATATGAACATATGACAAACCCAATATGACCTTTTAAGTTACTTTTGCTTTGAAAACTTGTAACATTCTAGCGATATAGATGAGAGATCAATCATGGAAATCTTTTTTATCAAAATTGTTGTATTTTTGTTGCAAGTTGAGGAAACTTATCTTGTTGTCATTTCATAATGTTCCTATTTCCTCATTAAAGTTTTGCATTTGACGTGGTTAACACTACGGTAAATGTTTCATTTAGAGGGGAATTATGAAAGAAAGAAATAAAGAAAACAAACACCACCGGAAGTTTTTATAGAGCCGGAAAAACCGAATCTTTATATCTTTGCTATATATCGACCTTGAAATTTCAACTTACAGATCAAACCAATAAATCTGGGACAATAGAATAAATAATGTGTTTGTTAAACACAAATGCACTCGGCTCAGATTGTTGTTTTCATTTTTCAAAAAAGGTTCATTAATTCACTCAATAATGGACAGAAATATTGCTTAAAGTTGTATGCACAGTTATAACTTGATAGAGTCATGATGTTTTGAAATTGTGAAAATATAAATTGGCAAGTCATTGCTATGACTTGTGAGGAAGTTGAATCATTCAATTTACCGATAAAATTTCATCAAATGTATATAAATACAGGAGTTTGACCTTGAACCCAGTGACCCAAAACTCCATCAAAACTTATAGGACCACCTTAGGTATGTTCCTTGTGAATAGGAGTCCTTAGAATAAATACAAAGGCTGTATAAAAAAGTGCAATTAATCTAGTGTTAGCATAAGTCATCTTGACCATGTGACTCTCAACATTGGACATTCAAGGTATGTTCCATAAGCAAAAGTGTAGAAATCCATTTTTGGCACCCCTGATCTTGACCCAATGACCCTAACTCAATCCAAAGGAGATATCTTCCTATCAAATATGAAAGACATCTATCCATAAAAAAGCATGTATGAAAAAAGTGTAGAAAGCTGTTGATGGCACACTTGACCAACTGATCCCTAACTCAATCCAAAGAAAGACTACCATGAAAGATATCTTCCTGCCATATGTGAAAGACATAAGTCAATAAATAAAGTCAGTATGGGCAAAAGTGCAAAAAATCTATTTTTTAGCACAATGTGACCTTTATCCAACTGAGCCCTTGCTCAATCCAAATTTGAAAGACATTTGTAAATAAATAAAAGCAGTAGAGGCAAAAGTGTAAAAACCTATTTTAGAACAAAGTAACCTTCACCCAATTGACCCGTAACTCACTCCAAAGGAAGAATGCCGTGCGCCGAATAGGAAAGACATCTGTCAATAAATAAAGGCTGTATGGGCAAAGTATAAAAATCTATTTTTAGCACAGATAAACTTGACCAAACTGACCCATAACTCCTTCCAAAGCAAAAAAATCGTCAATTTAATGTTCCTACCAAAATTGAAAGACATCAGTCAAAAGAATACACCTGTAAAAGTTAAAAGATTCCATTTTTGACATTGGTGACCCAAAAGACCCCTAATTGAGCCCAAAAGAAGAAGACCTCAATAGACATGTCATTTTAAACACAAAAGACATCGATTAAAAAATAAAGGGTGTATGAGCAAAAATGTTTAAATTTATTTTTCAAAAACAATGACATAAACCGCAGTGATCCTTTACTCTACAAAAAGTTCGAAGACTATTGAAGGTATCTACCTACAAAATAAGGAAAATATCATTCAAGTGACATTATGCCAATCCAAGACAAAATGATTAATGTTCAGATAGAATTAAAATAATATTACATTTTGTGATATTTCTATGTCACCCGAATAATCAATATCCCCCGTGACCCACATAATTATCTATAAAAAAATCTTGGAAATTATTGGCAATGTTCAATTAATAAAAAGAGTGGAATAGTCTTTTTTTAACTTAAGCAGTTTCGATATTAAAACAGTCAATCTTTTAAGAATATGCAACGAATATATTCCAGTTTGACAGTGAAAAAATGAGCATAATGTCACTTTAGATAAATGAAGTTTTAAGGAGAAAATTAAGATTTAATTTGTTAACCATACAAGGTTCATTTTTTAAGGGATAAAACAGATATATCTGGGAATAACGGATGGCATAGTTACCCTTTCACTTTTCTTTAATAGCAAAATAGAGTGAAATAAATCCCCAAAGAAAGCCCAACGCGGCAAAATTGAAAATGTTGCAGGCTCGGTTTGATTGAGCCTGTTCATGGACGGTACTGGAAAGTGCATGGACTGGTAAAATTTAGAATTTTGAAACATCCGCAGATGTGTTCATATGGCGGTTATCATGGAACCTTCAATGTGACACGTTAGTACCATTCCATGAAAAGCGGCATATAGTCCCCAAGTAAAAAAATGCGTGTGCCCTATGGGTGATTAAACAGTATTCAAGTGAGGAATACTGGAACCACCCAACAAGAAAGATGCCGAATAGATAGAACTAAAATACCACAAGCACAACAATAATGTCGTGCTGAACGATCTTTAAGGATCGGAAATATAACATCCCTGATTGAATGTACGGGGCGACTTTTTACAGCCTCCACACGGCACACACAACGCTGATGTGGCGATAAAATAGAGTGAAATAAGAATCCCCAAAGAAAGCCTTAATTGCTTTCGCAAAGTAAGAATTCTCCTACAATCGAAGTAACAGAATAATCAATATTATCCCTTTTAAGCTCACCTGAGCTAGCTTAGGGTGAGCTTTTAGGATCGTTGAATGTCCGCCGTCAGTCGTCTGTCGTCCGTCCACACTTGTTCGTAAACACTGTAGCGGTCACATTTTTTGTGTCAATCATCATCAAACTTTGTCAGGATGTTTGTCTAGGTAATAGCTCGGAGCTAAATATAGAAAATCGTGTTAACACTCTAGTGGCTACTGTTTTGATCCAAATATCCTGGAAATTGGTCTGTAAGGTTGTTTTGATGATTTCTAGGTCAAGTTCGAATATGGGTTACCTGGGGTCAAAAACTAGGTCAGATCGCCCAAATATTGAAAAACTTTGTTTGACACTCTTGTGGTCACATTTTTGACTCAATTGTCATCAAACTTGGTCAGGATGCTTGTCTAATTAATCTTTCGGATAAGTTCGAACATGGGTCATCTCGTATGAAAAACTAGGTCACAGGAGCTTAAAATAGAAAAAAACTTTTTAACACTCTAGTGGCTACTGTTTTGATCCAAATATCCTGGAAATTGATCTGAAAGTTTGTTTTGATGATTTCTGGATCACCTAGGATGTGAAAGTTTACTGGATCTGTTTAATTATTCGATCCATAATTATCTTATCCTGATTTGTAATATTTTATCTCCGATCTTGCAAACAAATGCACATGACCACAGACTTAGTAAATGCACACATACACAAAACTGTTAAAGATGGGAAACGTTCTACTCTGAAGATATATTTATATTATGTTTTATAATTCATAATCCTGTTTCCAAGTTTAAAAAATATCCTTCAGATTATGACAGGTCTTATTTATCTATTTGCAGTTGAGATCCGTCAGCTGGAAATTAATGAATACGAAGACATCTGAAATATTGAATGATATTGAAAACGCTATAAAGGACCATCGGGAAACAGCTCTTGGATGCATCAAAGAGCAAACAGAAACATCATTAAAAGCTATCGAAACAGCAAAAGGGCAGTTAAAGTTAAGCAATCGAGTTGAGGTTGAAGAAATAGTCAAAGAGATTATATCGGACATTCATTATGAGAGCAACACAACCATAAATTCAAGCATTGAAAATCAACTTTCAGAACCGTTATTAGGAAGCGAATCAGTATTCTTTAGAGGAGGAGAAGTGGAAATTCTCCCCAACCAAAACATTAGAATAAGAACTTGTCTTCCAAGAAGGCAGCATAGAATGAAGAAGGGTAAGTTACTGTTGAAATTCTCCATTGGAGATATTTATTGAGTTTAACATAGACAGATATAATTATACCAACAGCGATAATTGTGGTATTTTTTTCAAATGTTAATCTTGTTACCAATAAATTATCGATAGTGAATCTGTATATTATATAAAAGATAATTATACCTTTATTTCCTAACCCTATGCTAACATCATGATAAAAAGGCATTAGCATTATTATTCTTTTATAAATGTATCCTTGGTAAAATTTTTTGTCTTATATTGTCATCCATTGTTATAATCGCAGTCAGGAAGATGAAACTACGATTAGATGAAATACGATGTTGAAAACTCAAAATAACATAGTCATTATATCTTCTTTTCTGCTACATGGATTAATCATTTCAAACATAAAAGACGTGTAAAAAATAAAGGCTAAAGTGACTCCCTAGTTGAAAAGATAAATATACGATTGAACTTAAACGGTCTGATATTGAATTTTAATCTGTTGAGAACATAAATATACGGTTTAATATTTAGTTTCCTGTTATTGTCGATCTTTAGCCACATAGTTAAAATTTGCTTTGGTCACAGTTGGACGATTATAGATAGTGTTAAGTAGTGCGAACAAATTATATACGTATTCCCTAGGCTTTTGATTTTACTTATCCGAATACTAATAGAAAAGAATGTTGTGTTTTTTTCTTATATAAAATCACTAAAATTTAAAATATTTCATTATCAAGAAAAATAAATTCTTAGATAAAAATCAGAGAAAACATGTTAAAACCGTAAAATGATGGTAATGTTTCATCTTTGTACATATTTGTAATGCAGAATAATAGAATAACACTACATCTCCTTTAAGTATGTGATGAAACATCTCGTTATCTTTTCAGTTTTTCGGAGAAGAATTGTGCAACATTACGAGATGAAAAAATCAAAATTACAAGTGTCTCCATTGCTACAGGAAGAAGATGCACCATTGAGAGATTTATATGTTTTTCCAAGTATGAAAATACTTGAGCACCACAAAATACAAAGCAAAGATGTTTCAGTGAATTCCTACACTGATATTTTTTTCAAAGGCAATAAAGAATGCAAAAACATATATATAACTGGTGATGCTGGGATAGGGAAAACTGCATTTTGCCTACGAATGATTCTTGTTTGGTGCTTTAAACCTGAAATAAAAACAATTAAAACATTTGCTTGCTGTATTAAAAAAGAAACTATGAAAAAAGAAAATTTATTTTCTCACGATGACTTACAAGTAATGAAATCGTTTGAATTTCTGTTTTACATTTCTCTTCGTGACACAAGTCTTTGTCACGTAGAAGATATGATAATGCAACAGTTAGGCTTTGGATGTAGCAGGTCATATCTCACTTCTATTCTGGACAGATATAAATGTCTTATTATAATGGATGGCCTTGATGAGTGGAACCATCCACCGTTTCGAACACATGCATGTCCACCGGGGGATAAGGTGCCACACAGGCAAGCGTACAAGAATTGCACATTTATAACAACTTCAAGGGCTTCTAAATTGGATATGATTCGTCTAAGCACAAGTGAGATCGATCAGCTAGTTGCAATAATCGGTATAGGAACGGACCAATATCAAACCTTAGTAAAAGCAGTTGTGGACATTTTAAATATGAAATTAAACAAAGACAATAACTCTGAGGCATTCATTGCCTTTATGAAACAGCAAAACCTTCTTGATTTGACACAAATCCCTATTGTTGTTATGCAACTGATATGCCAATGGTATGAAGAAGACTCGTTGGATACACGAAAATCAATAGTTTACGGTAAGACAATGCAAATGTTATTCACCAGAAGCAAAACAATGGAGCTGAAGTCGTTGCCAGAGTTGTCACTATCATTTCCAAAGCAGTGGAAAACTGTACCGGTATTACAACATTTATGCTACTTTGCATATGTAACATTATTTCCTGATGATGCAAAAAGCAAAGGTCTTGTATTTAATAACGACGACCTGGATCAAAATTTGTATGGCTTGAAAAGAGGTGACATGAATACATTATTATCAGCTGGTATAATCTCGAGGAATAAAGTGCTAACCACACTCCTGGAAAGGAAGTTCAAATTGCAATTTATTCATAAAAGTTTCCATGAGTTTGTAGCAGCAGTTTACATCGCAATGGAACAAGATGAATCATATGAAGTTCTTAATTATTTTTCGAACGTTTCACATTTTCTTGAATTTTCAAACGTTCTTGTTTTCTTAGCAAGTCTTTGTCCTAATGTTTTTCAACATCTAAACCAAATTCTCTTGAAACTGCTCCGTAAGGATGAATATTTTGTAGAATATAGGAAAATACATTTCTCAGGTTTCATATTCTACAAATCAAATATAAGATACATTAGATACAAAGAATGTCATGCAAGCTTAAAGGCTTTACAAAGTCTCTTCATCAGTTGTGCTAGAGAAAGTAAACAACTGATTTGTACAGAATATGCCGTTCATGTAGCAGATGTCTATATTGACGACGAAAAACAAATTGAAGAACCATATTTCGGCAGCCTTTTGAAGTCTGAAACGATTTTATCTCTTTCAACGTGTGGTATTATCAAAAACCTATCATTTGTTGATAATCTGGTAAAATTTTGCTCGAAGGGCCCATGTAGTGAATTTTATGTTAGCAATTTAGAGAAATTCACACATTTGCAATGTTTAGTGATAAGCATTTGCAAACTGCAGACAAGCCTCAATTTATATCAACTTAAAGAACTTGAATCTTTAACATTATTTGACGTTCTTCTAGATCAAAATGAGGATTGCGAAATTTCTAAAGTGCAACAGTACTTACAAGCGCAGACAAAACTCACACAGATTTCACTTGTTGAGATAGAATGTGCATGTGCAAAACATAATGGAACATCAACTATGGAGAACAGCGTAACACTAGATATATCTAAACACAAAGATCTAATAACACTAGATTTAAGGCGTGTTCCTGTTGTGGTTACAAATGTAAATACTTGCGAGCTTGAGTCATGTATTATAGAAACCGATGTTGAAATTCACCAAAGCTTACTTGTTTGTCTCGAATGTGCTCCCAAATTAGAATGTTTGACAATAGATCTTGATAACTGTAAATCTAGCAGTGTAAACTCATTAAGTGTTGGTGAATCACTTACGAAAATAATTCCAACTCTACAGTGTTTAAGAAACATAAAACTCGTCAATATTGATTTTGGAAATGGGATTATAACATTATCTTCACAAATGAAAGCTTTGGAAAATATAAAATTATGGTGGTGTACACTTTCAGTTCCGTCAATAACCAGTACTATAGATACTTTACCCGTTACGGGTTCAAAATTAATTATCGAATTGAATAGATGTAAGGTACTGTCTTATCAAGACCGCGTAAATCAACTTCAAAGATTACAGTTGAAACTTAAATCGGAGGATCGATTTGAAATTATGAAGTATAGTTTGCTCGACACACAAGAATTATCGTTTGAACTTTCATCTGTGAGTAATTCAGAGAGCTTATAAAACATAAGAACAAACTTACATGAACAGGCTCAATCAAACCGAGCCTTTCAATATTGTCGTGTTGGGCTTTCTTGAGGGATTCTGTTTTACTCTATTTTAGACATAAAATCAGTCCCAATAAACCAGAAAAAAACAACAAAAAATGTGTAAAATCATTTAATAATGAAATTTTGGTTCATGAATTTTCGTTGCTAAATACTGGTTACTTGTATATAGTATACATGTATATGCTTACAGTTTTCCACTTGCTAAATGTAAATGAGGTTTTAAATTTGATTCAAAACAGAATGCAAAATTTTACACATTTTAAAATATCAAATAAACTATAACAATGTATGTTAAATAAAGTTTATATACAAAATTGTAATAAAAAAAACTTGTTTCTCGTCTTGATTTTTAAAATTATGATTTAAATTGAAAATGTAAAGAATTTACAGGGAAAACGTACTACAAATATGAAATAATATCATCATAACCATTGTATTTTCTTTAAAAAAAGAATAGCAATGTTAGAGTTTGGCATAAATGAACTCTGGAAAGATTTGTTAATGCAGATACTAGTGCAAACATAAAACTTTGTATATATTATTGAAAAAGTGGAGACATGAATGTACTCGTCCGTTTGTCCGTCCGTCTGTCTTTCTGTTTGTCTGATTATCCGTGACACTTCGTGACCGGTCCAAAAATTAGTACATGCAACATCAAAACTATTGTTGGTTTTTGCTTAAAACTTAATGTATCATTTCTGAATTATGTCTAAAGGTCACATAAGACTTTAACTCTAGCATGGCTTTCGAATGTAACTACATGTATAGTCTTTCTTAAACTTACACAATTTCTTATAACTATGGGAATTCGATAAGTTCGTACAACTCTTTTTTCTATACAATTTAAGTTGTTGTTGTTTTATTTTCATTGTTGCGCAGAGTCCACTTTTTCAGTTGAATCAGCCGTTCAGACATATCGTACATTATTGTTCTTACTTTTTGTTTGAAAACCTATACACATAGTCAAACTTGGAAAATCGGAATGTTGAAATCAGGACAGTCATAGAGTTCCTCATTAAGAAGGGGACAAATGCCAAAGAAATCAATAGTCGCATGGCTGATGTGTATAGCGATATTAGCCCAAAGTAGTTCACAGTGGCAAAGTTGTTAGCAGAATTTAAACGTTGGTGAGACGTTAGAAGATGACCGAAGACTAGGTCGCCCTACTGTTGTCTAAAGCCAGGAAATGATCGACCGTGTTGGGAGACTTGTGCTAAATGGGCGCCGAATAAAATTAGCCGATCTTGCTTAAGAATAAGGTATTTTATCTGTTTACACTACACTAACAAATCTGATAAGTGTGCATGTATAATATCTTACAAAGCGAGTCAATATTGATCCTACCATGCTGGAAGTTTCAATATATACAGTTGAGAGGCATGATAAGATATTACATTTATTTAATTCCATAACAAACAGAAGTTTAATAAACTTGCCCAATAAATGTGATTTGGGTGAAAATGTTGCCTATGATCTCTATTGTGAGTCAGCGTATGCCTACCGTTGACTTTGATATCAACAAATTGTGAGATGAACCACATGATAAAAAGTTTTGGTGCAGTGCCACAAACGATCGCCCATACATATATGCGAAAAATGTCTTATTGTGAATAAATCTATCCCAATATTATATAAAAAAGATAGGGTCACAACCATGCGAAAACGATGCCAGGTTATGATAAACAGTGTAATTAACAATCAGGTAGGGCATACGATATAAGAATTATTTTCAATGATACATTTATTTTGCGATATTGGCGTATAACGCATTATCACATTTATTGGGAATGTTTATCAAATGCGTGTTTCTGATGGAATTAAATAAATGGAATATCATACCATGTCTCTCAGCTGAATTTATTGAACATGAAAGTAGACACACATATGAGACCATTTATACACACATAATATATTCCTGCCATGTTAGCCTAATTTATTCGGCGTGAACCGTTTGACACATTTTACAATTTGTTTTGTATACTGTCAAAAAGTTACGCCTAATTTTTACGCAGGCAACACCAGCTTTATATGTTTTTCTCTATAAAATGGCAAAAATTATTAATGTTGCTACATATACGTAGTTAACACACTTTCACACAATTGTCAATTTGAAATTAACAGTAAAAATACCTATCAAATATAAAGCAATTTATTTCTCAATTGTAACCAAAACATTTCCCACTGCAAATGGCGAATGACGTCACTCGTAAAGATTTGATATGATGAAAATTTGTAGGGTGTAACGGTTTACCGGTATACCGATTTATTGCAATATGAAAAAATAAATTTTGTACCGTTGTACGTTTTTCCGAAAACCGGTATTTTATAAAAATCATAATGTTCAATTAAATTCTTTCAAATTTCGTACAATACATTCAGAATTCAATTAAATAGCCGTGACTTGCATTAAAACTCTTCCTTGCTTGAATAGCCAAAGTCTGCCAATCCTCGGTACGTCCTTGCGATGGTCATCCCCCGATGGGGTGAAATTATTGTCACCGTGGATCACTGAAATATTGCAGGGACATTTCACCCCTCAAATGACCATTTATCAAATTATTACACGTATTTACATGCTTCTGTAAATCATTTGTCTCCTAGAATTTTTGAAGGGTGGATATTTGCACACCTGTTTTAAAAAATGTTATCTCATAGAGCTAAAATGCACAAAAAACTCTCCCACAAAGTAGCATCCATAAATAAGTGAAAACTATTGTTTCCATTGTTAAATAAATTTACACACACAAAATTTACACACGGGATGACTTCTGAAAAATGACTCGTCAGCTCTTCAAAAGAATCTGTCAATCTTTGATCTTTTCACATGTGTAGTCCCTGCTGAATCATCAAAGAAATGCCGACATTCGACTGACTTCCACCCTTTTTATATACATTAATCAAAGGTCTGCAATCTCTGTGGTATTTTCTGATCTTTGCAATCTAAATCGTACTGTATATCTGTATGTATTTTCCTGTTACAAGTTTATTTTTATAAACTATAATTCACCTTGCAGGGCACCGAGATGCAGCGAATACGTTTGGATTTTTTACTATAACAGTTTGATACATACGGAATTTTGCATGACTAGAGTTGCATCAAAAGTCATTTATGTTCATTTTTTATGACAGCCACACTTTATCATTTTATCCTTGCATATCGTGGCTACTTCCTTAAAAAGACACTTTAAAAAAAGTAGCCTCAACTGGGATTTGAACCCTAGACCTCTCACACCCTAAACGAGTGCGTTACTCCTGCATCAAGGAGAAGTGTAACGGAGTCAGCCTGAATAAAATCAAATAATTCTAATTTTAGAATAACCATGCATGGTTTGTAATCCTTATTAATTTCAAGGTATTTTGTTCACGATATACCTGCTGTTTAGCATTGATGTAAATAATTTAGCGAAAATTTTCTCGCCAAAACAGTCCGACATGAATATATTCGGAAATCGACATCGCTAAAAATAGCATTTTAATTGATTTCAATCAAATTCATCCGCGTGCATTTATTGACAATTCTATAAGCCAACGCTACTTTTAAACTTTGAATGCGTTGCAATTTGTTTGATACTTGTAACAAAACAAAAATGTTTCTTTCTTTTACATCGATAGTTTTAAGCTGTTTTGAGAACTTCTTGTTCGTGAAACTTCTGTGTCAGAGATTGAATGTCAGCATTGTATTTGCTGATCTGCGATCAGAAAATACAAACAACATCATCCTCTTTTTTCACATGCTTAATTTTTGCTTAAAAGGAAAAGAAAAAATATGTTGTATAATTATAATGTCAATTATTGACATATTATTAAACGTAAGTGCATTTTGTTTGTGATGTATTTTTTCCGCGAATGGAACTTCAAAACTACATATTTTTATACAGACGATGTTATGGCTGTTATAAAGGCATAAGATTATTCTAGTACATGTACGTGAACATCTTTATGCGATATCTATCACGGCGAATTTCTGTGGTTTTCCTCCAGGGATTGCGGGGATTTTCTTAACACTCCGCGGCGATATGGCACTGTGACTGACCATAGTATTTCCTCTCTCCCCCCCCCCCGCGATTTTTTCCACTCACTCTTAAAAAGTGGAAAGTGCAAAATTTACTTGAGCCATGTGATCTGCTGTAACATTTCTTTACACAGTACCAGTACCTCAATTAGATATTAGATACGTTAAGTGGTACTTTCCTCGCAAAGAAACGTCTTAGTGCACCAACTACAAATGTCCCTTCTGAAAGGGTATTCAGCACTCTCAGCAAAGAGGGCTGCCTTATGTGTAGAAAATGTGAACATTCTGATCTTACTTAAGAAAATATACAATAAATTGGCATAGATGAACACTGTTTGAGCAGACTAGTTTACTGTTAATGTGTTTTAAGGTTTCAAGACACGCAAGTATGAATTTGAAATAAGGATCCTAGATTATTTTCTATTTAGTCCTTTCACTTATATGTACATATAATAATAATATATAATGTTACACCATCTTTACATGAAAACATAAAGATTCACACGACAATACGTATTGCAATATATTGCAATACGCTTTTGCAAAATGGCAATATATTGCGATACGGTTTTTGCCGTATTGTTACACCCTATTTAATTTAATTTCAGGGTGTTAAACCGATAATGTAGGAGTTCGCGTCTGTTTTATAGAACTAAGTTTTTTAAACGTTATTTTTAAATTCTGCTTTTATGTAATATACAAAGATAATATATAATAAGACATGTTCCAGAAATATGATTTATACATTTCGTAATGCAGCATGTAATCATAATTACAGGATATCGATGTGCGAGGGTTAGAAATATTACAATCATAAATCGAAATTATTTTTTTCTTAACTGATTATAGATATAACGTTTAAAAATCAAATCCAACAAAATAACGTTCGGGACTTTATTTTCAATGTATGCATATACAATGGCATTGTGAAAAAATCAAATGTCCATAACGAAATCTTTGTACCGAAATATTCGACCATTTTCATTAAAAGTGGATACTACTAAAAGTTGAGAGATATACGTTTATATCTTATACTTTGTATTTCCGTCTTTTTATTCATTTTGCCTGAAAATCAGGCCGGAAAACCGATTGTAAAATGTCTTGGTCGGAGCTTTCCCAACAATTGCATCGGATCAGTCATGCAAAGATGTTGAAAAGTTTAAAGGCAACAACATAAACGTCTAGACAAAGGCAACAACATAAACGTCTAGACAAGAGACGTAAAGTCACGTTGAATTAAAATTACGGCTACTGTAGTCGACACACAAAAGGCGTATATTTTGATCATATATATAAACATTTACAATCAGTTTTTGGCATGATTTT